TCATCTTTCGTTCCTGTGTTCTAAGAGCATTCACACTATAGCTTAACAGTCATAAATGGAGTAAGCTGAACCTCGTTGCTAAGAAAGGAGATAGGTCTCCATCACGGAAATTGGTCTAAAGTTTCAAATATACTCGTACGCCCAGCTGAACAGAACAATCACAACGAAAAAAGCAAATTGAAAACCAATAGATACACTCATGCATGCGCAAATTTATCTTCCCTTGTTTGTTGTTTATCCTCCCTATTTATCTTCCTTAGATCTTGTTCGACAGGTGAGAACGAAGCTAATGATTTTTAAGCCTTACGACTGACAATTGTGGTGTTATCTTTAAAATAAAGTATCGAAAACACAAAAGTCTTTTACTGTTATTCCATTTTTTTTTTTCATCTCCGTTAATTGCAATATTGCCCGCATTCACCAGAAATTTAGGTTTCAAACTTTTTCAGTTATTTGAAAAATCTGCTGCTCAAATCTTTACGGTATATTTGTTTAATTTATTTGATTGCTGATGCTTTCGAGTGCACAATACTTTTGGTCTTTGAAAACGAAGGATGCTATCACTCGATTCTCTCGAAATTGAAAGATTTCCTTTCAAAACTAGTGCCATCTTAAGGTTGATTTTTGCCTCGTTTTATATTTGTTTGACATGTGTCTGGTTTGTAGTAATCAGACATTGCTTTCCGCTATAACACTGATAGAAAACATAATCAAAATGAAGACCAAATACTCACTTTCTGATAATAAAATATGTAAAAACTCTTTATTGTAATTCATAAAAACATAACTTTATTCATAAAATGTTATTAACTCTTCTACTTAACACAGAGCAATTTTGATAATTAAAAATGTACATATCTCCTCATTTACAATTAGAGTGACTAACATTATCGAGCATTACGCCCATAAAGATTAAAATAAGTTCCAAGACACGATAAAATAGATATATTTTATTATTATGGGAAAAAGAACGCATATTTTAATGATCGTTTTAGGAAACAATACGAAGTCGCTAAAGCAGTGGGTGCTGTCATCATGACTTCTATCCTCCTTAAAATTGATTTCAAGACAGCGAAATGGCTTCCATAGCAGTGATTGAAATTTCGTTTCTGTGGCTAATGCTTATACCCCAGATTCGTGATTACTCAATAACTTCTTCATGATATCCAATCTCAAATGAATGGCAATCAAGGCTGAGGTACTACTTCATGATAAGCAGGATTTTTGGTACCGGTTTTGCTGCGACTCGAGTGTTGCCAAATTATCATTCTAAATCACCTAAACGGAATCACAGCCTTCGCTTAGATTTTTCACTTTCTCTTTTCATTTAACATCAGTTTTCAACTCTTAAATATTTATCATAGATATTAATGTTTGTTTCCGGATTCTTGCTTATGAAGACTTGCTAGATACGCCGATGTTGGATTTGTAGACTAAACCATTTCTTAAATTAGAAAACACTCTTAAATTCTTAGCTCTGAAATCCTCTTGGATTTTCTTAATACTTTCATATTGCCTTTAATTAGTTCTTGAAAACACTATTAATGCAATACTGCTGCTTCATTTTCTCGGTCTCGATTGAACTCAAAGAATTGGCAGTACGGCTGGGATACATGTATAAAATATGATTCTGTTTGGTTGGGAAAGCAAAAAAACATTATGCTTAAATTATTTTCCTCCAGATTACCTGCGTCTTTGCAACATAAGAAGAGGTCATACACTTTCCAATCAGTGGCTTCAGTGGTAAACGTATACTAACTGTTATATAATGTTTTAATATTTTTATCCAGCAGAAAAAAATTGATTCGTTAAAAGATTAAGCCCATGCAGTTCACTTCCAAGTCTTTGTACCCAGTGTCTCTTTTTAGTTATAATCAGCGAAAAAGTATAAGTTCAGATGGTTATTCCTTAGATACATTTTTATGTAATGTATCGTTAAATCGTAAAAATCGGGTGTAAATAAAGAATAATGGCTATGATTGTTTCGTTTCTGTTTCATTTGCTTCCGTTTTGTGTTCTCAGAGTAACTGCATTTCCGCCAAACTCGAAATGCCAAATAACTTAGAGATTCATCTACATTATTTCTAAAATTTTATTTCCGCTAAATTACATGAAGCGTTAAGCGGTAGTTTTCCTACTTCCCCAAACGTATCACTGCAAAAGATAGCAGAATAAAGTTGTTTTCGTTCTATATCGCTAGTTATGCACATTAACGCGTGTTTTGGTTTTGGAAGCCCTTGGTTACAAAAATTTTCCATTAAGAAGCGTTTGAAACTTTAGTTTCATTATTTGTTTGCAAAGTAAAATACATTTGAACAGGAAATACATTGTATTATATGGGGCTAGGGTAGCCAGCATACAGGCCAGTTCCAAATCCGTATATAGTGTTTTCCTTTTCGAAAACATAACTATCAGTAGCTTTTTCTTGATCGAAACCCTTTTAAAAACAGTAGTAGTAGATTAAAACGCATTTTGGAAGCTTTATATGTTATATTCTGCACTCGTAAAATTAGCTGAATTCTTATTTATAGATGCAAAGATAGATAGCCTCGCATGCTTTTAAATAATCTAAATAACCAATCCTTTATATCAGACGTTCTCGGTTGAATTCTCTCCTAAAGGGAAATTTCATATTTCACCTGCTTTTTGCTGTGCTATTTAAAAATTATTTAATCAAAATAAATGTATTTTTCTAATAATGTATTTTTAATTTTTTAAATAATATATTTTTTTGAAAAGGGAGGAGAGAAGGATCATCCAGCATTGGAGAAAGGAGTGCATAGGGTAAAAAGAAGGTTGAGAACTATTGCTTTAGATGCAATCATTTACGTATTGATAATAAAGCAGCGGGGAAGAGTAACAAAATAAATGCAATCCACACTACAGTTTCGCGATAGCCTAGCCTAAGCCTAGTCTAGCTTATATAAAACTTGAGCTGTGGACCAACAGGTAGATCACGGCTGTCGAGTAATAGTTTTACAGAACAACGTACACATGAAATCACAACAGCATAGGCACAGTCATATTATTAATACTATTTCTTTTTATTTTATGTTGCATTTCTGTCCTCTGTCAACATATAGCCTAAGGGATCTGATTTTTATGAATTCTATATGTGGCCTAATCTTTGGCTTGCAATGGTCAATAAAAACATTAAAAAATATAATTTAAAAAATACTAATTATTAATTGAAATTAATAACTGTTTCATATGTAACAAGATAGTAAAGACACAAGCTACAATTACAGTAGTAGTGAAACTGAAGTTAGACGCACTGAAGGGGCGAAAATTACTATTAAAAGTATTTTTTGATCTTCATTTAATGGATAGATTTTTATGCCATCCGTAATTTCTAGTTCCAGTTCTGTACCTATTTAACAAAATAGTAAATTTATTACACTGAAAAAAATTTACTAAATATATGTATGCGTATTTTGTATATATTTGTGGATGTATCGAAAAATATATCATACATACATACACACACACACATACATACATACATACACGCACAGACACATAGACCTTTTTCAGAGGCTTATATATATGTACACCTTTCGAGTCAAAGGATTATATTTGATTGAAACTCGGCTGCAGCTAAAGGACCGTGTTACATAAGTTGTGGAATGCATCCTGATCGTAAATACGTGCGACCTTCAGATGTCCACCCGACTATCTCCTATGAAGTTCACATTGTTTGAGACATTGAAATTTAAAGAAAGATTATAGAGTAGTTGTTTGAAAATATTAATACTCATTTTTTAATGAACTTGATCCTTGTTTAGATATTATTTTTTTATTCTTGTTTAGATATTATTCCAGTCAGAAATGCTGCTGAATGTGCTAAAATCTTGATTAGTATGTTTCTGAATTAAAATCAGTTTTGCATTCACAATGTTTTACGATCAAATGAACTGGGTTGCGCCCCCTTTTTCTTAAATATTGTATTTATGTTAATAGGTGATGGCGAAGCACGTGAAAGTTCTGTTCCCAAAGGAAGAGATGTTTTTGTGGAAAAATTTCTAAGAGAAACTGATTCCTATTCACGTTACGTATGGCGTAAACCACAAAAACGCTCATACGGCTAACCCATTCGCCGACGTTTGCACCAGACTCAGACTACATGTGTTTGGCTGTCTTATTTATTAGACCACTATTGAGTCGCTCTGTAAATGAGTCGTAAATATCTGAGTGGAAACCATTATGGGTATTTTCATGAAATGGTTATTCAGCTTCAGATCTTAATTTTAGATGGATAATTACATTATCATGTGCGTAAAGATTTATTGTGTTTGTTTATCTTGAAGTTAAGAGTAGTTTACATATAATAATTTGTAAAAAGAAATGGCTGTAAATTTTTGGTTTTTTCCTTAAATGTATAATTTTTTTGACTGTGCGAAATTCAAAATTACCTCAAAATTGCAGTTTAATAATCTAAAATTTAACAACTGAAGTGGTATCTACTTTTTGTCCATATGTACCGTACTCTAATACTGCAAAACATCTTTATATGCAATTTTAAATAAATGTTATAATATACTTTGAAAGTAAAAATACGCAACAATAAATTAGCAGTTGCAAAAATCTTCCATAAAATCAAGTGAACTGCTCCAGATTCGCTTTGTTGAATGAGTAAAAGCCTGTTGACCGAATTCTGTCAATTGATTGGAAAAGATTGTGTATGTGTTTATGATATGTAAACTTAAATCAAACTGTCAACTGCTAAACAATAAAATTTCTGCACCATATCTAATATTTCTGACATGCAGAAACTAGTCAATGTAAACAATCCAAAAGTAAACAAACAGATACGTAGATAAATTCATTTCGTGATATAGAGATCGTTATATCTTACGACACCACTAAAACACAATTATAATACCTGCAAGGTGTTTCATTATATTTTCATTCACCTCTCAGATTGTGGTAGCCGGTTTGTTTGTTATTCAACTTTCCAATATTTAGAATTTAATCGTTTCTTCCTCATTTTTCTGGAGCAGGAAAACTTTGATGTGGAAGGACGGAGTGAGGTGAACCAATCACCACAGCCAGCCAACGATGCCAAGTCTCTGCTGCAGTTTGCTCTCTTCAACTTCAGGGAAAGTCTGGACAAGTGAGTTGAATCACTTCCTTTCTTCCTTCCGTTTGCGATCATTAGGATAAAAGTAAATTAGAATTTGAAAATTAACACGCAAATCGTGTATTCGGAATTTGTAATTAGTATTTGAGTTAATAAGTTTGAGGGAAGTAGGCGACAGTTTTACTGTTCCAGCCATGAGCAGTTTAGTTTCTTCTTGGCTGAGACTGAATGGATGTTTTGCTATTAAGTATGTACTCTATAATTCCTAATTTTTATATCCTAAAATTGTATATACTAAAGACTAATTATGGATTTTATTTCTGTTTATATATGTGTTTACTAAACGCATACGACTAAGGAGTTTTTAACTTGTGTTGTGAATATAAGAGAAAAGTTTAAGTGACTATGTTATTAAAATTAATTTAATTAGTTGTTTTTTGTTAAATAAACAAGAATAATTTCTTAACTTGCATTTTGTTTATTGCATATTACCTTTAAATTCCTTATTTTGTTTGATATTTATGAAATATTTTGTTTAAATTAGGTCTTTGCAAAATTTTGGTCACGTAATTCCCTTTTACGTTTCATATTATTATAGACAATTTCTATTGTAATAATTCAAAAGGTGAAGCCAATAAAATACAAATTTAAACTTAATGGAGCTTTTAAATATTCTAAATATATAATTTTGCAGAACAAACCTGGATGATTTTGAGATCTTCAATTCTGTATAATATAACTGTCAGCTGCTTAACTAATCTTGACGCAGTGAGATAAATTAGTTTATTTATTTAAATAAGGCAGAGCACACGAAAGCTACATGTCAAAGGAATGATTATATGGAAAATTTTTAAAGTAAAATAGCTCGTGTTTATATTATACATGCAGAAAATTACGAAATAACCCATGTAGTCATAGGAGACTCGAACATGGGCCAAAGTATCAGTAACCACTCTGCCACTGGTGGACGAGTGGAAAAATGCTGGAGGGGAGTTGGAGTGAATTATTGGCAAAGATTGAAGGCTCGTATCCTATTCACTAACAAAATATAGTTTTTCAAAACTTGTAATACAGAACTTCGCATTATACAACTATAGATCGTCCTTTAAAAACAAAAGAGATGTAGTACATAAATAATCATAAACTGGAAAAAAAATTAATGTTTAAATATTTTTTAAACTGAAAGTTTTATAAATTCAGCGCAAAATTTAAATATTATGAGAGTTACATTAAAAAATTAATTTTGCATAAAAAATTGTTTAACGTTTAATAATGAATAATTAATTTCGTTTAATACTAAAAATTCTAGCTAATAATTCCTTATATTCACTTTAATGTGCTTTCGTATAAATACTTTTTAGTTATTTTTCATTAAATAAATTACTAATACTGAAATAATTTACATAGTTAATATTATTAATAAATTCTTATAATTACGCGTTAATTTGCAATACCGTTTTTGAAATATCTAAAAATAGTATGAGCATTATTTTGCTTTTATTCCCACTCGATGAAATTGGATCACTTTTGGAGATATTTTCGTACAGCCGCCATTCATGTTAATGTCAGTTCTTAAAATAATTCAGAAGAAAGCATTTTTAAATTGTATTTAATGCTGTTAATTTCCGTTACAGAATGACACAATAAACTTTCATGATTTAAGTTTATAATAAAAATACAATGTCTGCATCCAAAGATAAGCATATTTCCGCTTAAAGCATAATTATTATTAAGAATGTACAGATTACTTCCCACTACCCTAGAAACCCATTAAAAAGTCCTCAGTAGTACATTCCAAAAAGATACTTTTTAAACAGCAAGATTAATTTCTTTTCTTTAATTTTTTTAATTTCAAAATATTCAATTTTTCCTCAGTTCTTAAAATTAACTGCATTGTACGCAAATTATCTTCTGGTTATTGTTTGTTTTATTTATAATATATACTTTCTCGGTGTTTATTTAATACATATTGAATTTTTATGTTAATTATTAGGTATAATATACTACGAAATGCAATTGAAATGTAATTCATTTCAGTTTAAGTTTTAAATTTTAATTTTACAGTTGATACATTTAAAGACAAAGCTTCTTTTTATCATTAAAATATCAATGAACTTATTATATGAAGAAAGAAAAGTGAGGTATACCTTATCAAAAATTTTGTTGTCTTATTTGCGAACGAAGTTCCATAGTGCCCAGTGACACAAGTTTATGTGTAAGAAAATTAAGCCTTTTGAAATCCTCTTTAGGGTGCATTTTCTATTTCCATAGCACTGCGCTCTCTCATATCGAAGCTGTCCTCTATGAGCTGATTTTCTATTTTAGAATACCTGATTAAGATCATTAATGGTATTTTTATTCGAAACTAATAAAAACTGTTTCAGTGTGAACAATATGCCAATATTAAATTAATTCAACTTTAATTGTTTTTGAATTGTACGTTAATATTTTATTGCTCGAATATTTGAATTTATATCGTAAAGAAAAGTTAAGAAAGCCACGTGCAATAAAAGTGTTTGCCTTATTGTTTTTCATCTAATCTCTAAAGGTATGAAATGCTACGGACACGCGATGGCTCTATTCGAGGTTCCATTAAATTAATAGAGAGTCTAAAATCGAAGAAAAGTAAAGGAAAGAAAGGGAAAGATACATCTGATTGGACTTGGAAGGAATTGGCGGATATGGTCAAATATACCAAGGTAAAACTTTCATGTATATCATTCCTATTGAAGTATTCTAAATTTTATAAATGCTGTATTATACTGTGAATACCAATAGAAGGAATCCATCGCCATACATATATTCACGCATTCGCACGCACGTTCCCTTTTATTACTTACAACTTAGTTGAATCTAAGACAACGAACTTAATATAATTTTAACAATGCATTAGTTTAGAAAATCCTTTTGTATTCAACACCTTAAAATTAAAAAAAATGTTTTAGATTTTAAATTACGTCCAAAGGTGCGTTTTTTTAACGTTTTGTGTGTTACCTTTATTTATTAAATATCATGTTCTTTGCACTTAAACCATAAAATTCAGTTCAATAGCAATGTCGCAAAATAATTTTAAAACGAGCATATCTTTAGAATTTCCGATACACAGTTCCGCGCGCTGGAGATAAAAAGTTTTTTTTTTTTTTTTTTTTTTTTTTTTTTTTTTTTAATTTGGTGTTCCACATGCCCATATTCGTAGGAGGATTACGTCATTCAAAAATCGGTAGAAAAATCGGTTTAATTTCTTCAAATGTAATGCAGGACTCTAACATTTGGTGGCAACAGTTTGAAATATATGAACATTTATAATGATTCAACGCAAAATCGCAAAACGAAAACAATAGTCCTTCAGGGACAAAGCCCGTTTGGACTAAAAAAAAAAAAAAAAACTAAATTGTGGGAAGCTCATTTTTTGCTAGTGGCAAATTTTAAAATTTAAATGAACCTTCTTGTGCCAGTGATAATCATAGTTGTTGAAGTTGTGACTTATCTCACTTGTCTGCTGTAGTTGTGACTTATCTCACTTGTCTGACAGTAACAATAGCAAAAGCCCAAGAAATTCACCGTGGCAGGGAGTGCAAGATTGCGCCTGTCGTTGGAAAGAGCTTTGAGCACCATACAGGTGGCACTACGACATTTTCTCAGTTTCCTCTCCCAATTTTGATGGAGAGCACCTTTACCACCAACCTCTCGAGAGTATTTTCGGTTCGCCGCATATTTAGAGTGTTCCCATGCCGCACAGACACTATACATTTACAAACATCCATGCCTTCTCCAGGACTTTCGGTACGGCAGTGATCCCAAACGGGATAACCACAATCCTGATTGGACGGCATAATCATACGAGTATTTTGTTAAAAATATAAGCAGAAAGAAGCCAGAAAAGAGAAACATCTATTAATATGTTTATCACAATCTAGTGATCACAAAACAGTAATTAGTTGTATTTTTGCCTCTTACTGAATTTACATTATGAAGCTGGTATACTTTTACATGATGACATTAGTGTAATTTTATTTACAATTGTCTAATAAAGCAAAATATTTTAAAGATTACCCGAATAAATTTTGATTCTTGAAATACACGTTCGGATACGTAATCTTCTTAGCAAGATGGTTTTAAATAATATATTTCTTCTTATTAATTATGTATATTTGTTGTATCCTTCTAAATATGCCACATAAAAAAATGAATATTTGTAAAATTTGTTTTAATAAAAAATTTTTGTATGCAGTCTCCTCTGATGGCTTCTCTGTTAAAGTTTGAAGCTCCTGAACTGAACAAATTAGCTTTGGAGTGCTTTATAGGTAAGAAAAAATTTTTTTTTTAAATTTTGTTGAATGTATTAAATGGTATAATATAATTTTAAGCCTGTATTTAGTATGCTATGTTTTTATTTATTTGCATTATTTCACACATGAATGCTGAAAATAAATGATCTTGACTTGCTTTAAAAAGGACACTTTAAATATTTTCTAACTATGTTAGTGCATTGATAATTTCAGTTTATATGCATATGGGTGGGTGCTCACGAAATTTACATCACTTGAAGTAAGATATACTGAAAGAATTATTAATGTACAACATTTCATGCAATTTTAATATGTTAAATACTGTCTGGTGTTAATACATAGCAAATATTGTATAGGTAATGTTAAATAGTGTGTGAAATGAAATTATAAGGAAACAAAAGTGCACATGGTTACTTGCAAATGTGCAATAATACTTATAGGTTTCGATTAATATTTCAATAACTCATTTTAAGGAATGAATAAAATATTTTTTAAAAGAAAATTAGTGATTTTTATATTGAGATATATATATCTCTCTCTCTATATATACATATATATATGTGTGTGTGTGTGTGTATATATATATATATATAGAGAGAGAGAGAGAGAGAAAGATTTTGAAATACAGTTTTCAATAAATAAATAAATATAAATTCAGTACTTTCTTGGTTGAGTTGTACTTCAATTTCTATCTCTCTCTTAATGCCATTGCAAAATAATGTAATTTTACCTTTGTTTTAACTCTCTTAGTTTGAAGATATTTCTAAGCTAATTATAAATATTAGACATTTTCCTTTCCCAGTCCTTCTTACCCCTGGATATAGTTAATTAAAGATTTCAAAATCAATGGCTTCCTCTCTGTATTTTTCTCTCTTGGCTTTCTCCTTAACCATTCACAAGTATTTCTATTCAAAAACAGAGCCTGTACTCTCATCTTTTGTCTGAGATTCCCCTCTGCTGCATTTTTCTTTTCTTTTCTTTTTTTTTTTTTTTTTCTCTCTCTCTTTCTATTTTATTCAGAATGGAAATGGTTAAGATATTTCGAATGTTGCATAATGCGTAGATAGATCTGCAATAGAATATTTCAAAATTCCCTCAATAATTCTATGGAGGATTTTGAAAACAAAAATTCTGTTATGATAGCATATTATGAATATGGAATTCATGCTGTGTAAAAAGCAGGAAATTACGCAGAATGTTCCATCAGGTGAAAATGCAGTGATTTTGCAGAAGATCATTAAATTGAAAAAGGCGCATTATTTCAAGATCTGAACAAAATTATTGCGTGAATATGATGACAGCAAGAAACTTGGATGAACATATTTTTTATGTTCATTTAGAAATTTGACTGACAAATGAAATTATTTTATTCAAGGATTAGAATAATTCTCATTCTTCTGATGCTGAGCTTCTGAGGATTAGAATGCTCCTCATTCTTCTGGTGCTGAGCAAGCACAAATATGTGAGCTTGCTCAGCACCGGAAAGAAACGGTGTTTTTCGTTAAGTTTGGAAATAAACTTAAGCCGCTAAATTTTGGAATAATTCGTTCACAGAGAAACTTTGATTGAGCATTTTTTCTTGTCATGCAGATAAAATGTAATTCGTGTTCGTAAGACAATCCATACTTTCTACCAGTCATAGGTTCTGCTTATCATCGAAGGAAATATATCACTAAAATCTACATATATTAAGAATTGTTCAATAAATCAGGTATTTTAATTGAGAAATTCCACTGGAAAATTTTCTGGTAAAGCTAAACAAGTAATAAATAACGGATGATAATGGACCATTTAAATTCGATAGAATAAAGCATTTGTGGACATCAGTGAAAATGTAGTACCAGCAAAACTAAGAGAAGCTCAATAAGTAAAAAGTAATTGGTAAAATTCAGGGTGGTAACATTAATTTAAAAAAAGCCGATATTTGATGAACTTCTTTCTCTTCCTCCAGCTTTTGCAAAAGCAGTAAAAATATTTTTACTCTGCATTCAACTTATCAAAGGATCTAATGCCACGCATTCTTGCTGGAACCAAACTTGAAAATTTTATTTTCAGTAGAAGATAAAAGCGGTCTTTAGTTTGCCACTATTTTGAAAGCTACAAATGCAAATGAAGGAAAAACAATAAAAGGGGTTTTGAGAGAATATTGAAGATATTATATACCAGATTTCACTTGTTAACTGTCGTCATTGGTATCTTTCGTATTCTGTTGTTAAGCCTACATTGTTATAAAATTGAATTATTTTAGCTTTCACTTGTACATCTCTCTCTCTTTTTTTTTTATGTGTCGTATTTGATTCTTCCCTTTTGCCAACATAGAAATGAGAGGTTTCTTTTATATGTTTGAAATTAAACATTCGTCAAATGCACCAATAATGTAGCTGATTCTTGTTAAATTAGGTATTATGGTTACATATGCAAGAACATTTTTGTGTACATCTAAAGATTTATAATACATCTGCAAAAACATTTCAATGAAATTTGAAATAAATAATTAATGAATTAAATATGCAGCTTTCAGTATTAAAAAACATAATTTATCTGCATAATATTCCTAAGATTTATGAGTTTGATTGGACCAAACGGTTAAACTTCGGAACAGCTAAACTGTATATGTAAGAAACTTTGTAATTAAATTACTAAAAAAGTTATTTTAGTTGGCAAAATAAGACTAGAAAGTAGGCCACCCAGCGGCCGAGCACTAAAGTCGCTGAATACTGGTAGTTCGGTCCGAGGTTCAAATCCCGCGAATGAGCAAGCTGCATGAGCGTTTTCGTTGTTTCCACATGTGTAACGTGTATACGAGTAAGTCCTCCCGTTAGGCAGATAGCCCTCGAGGATTTGCGTTATCACAAAAATTAAACCAAAACTAGGAAGTTTTCAGTCAAATAGTAAAAAAGAATTATCTTCTCATAGTTTGCTGTGCCAATTAACTTTCACGTAATTTTCAAAATATGTTACTACTCATCATTCTAAGGGCTGTCCTTTTCTTGTTGTAACATTTAACAGTTTCTAAGAATATCAGGCACAAGTATTTCACTTAAATCACGCATAAATATTTCATAGAAAATTTTACTCGGATTACTTTTTGAGATAATCTTTCCAAAGAGATCATATTTAAATGATATCTAACGCCCCGCTGAATTTTCACTACTAATTTTGCTTTAGATTTTGACCGAGGGGGGGATGAGTTTTTCCTAGTCAGTTTATGTAACTTCTTGCTAAAGGTGAGCACTGAGCATTAAACGCTCCAAGAAGGTATTCTTTATATGCTGTGCCGGTATATATACACACAGCGGTACTTTACATAACGAAATTGCTTACACTATAAACGTTCCGTATGAATACGCACGTGAATCAAAAAGTGTCCCGCATAACGAAGTCGGTCCCGCATTACCAACTGCAAGAGACATTCGCCTCCACATTAAACACATTATTCTGTTTAAATGGTGTATAAATACAAAACCATTACCTATGAATAGGAAAAGGCAAACATTAGAATAGAGGGCAAATAACCAAATTTCTGAATATTATTTTACCCCTGAAGAAATTTAAACCGATTTTGACCAGGAATTTGAAGAAACCCCAAGGGAAGGTTTTCTTTTCTTTTTTTTTTTTTTTTTTTTTTTTTTTTTTTTTTTTTATTATAAACGCCAAGAACGCAGAGAATTGGTTATATGCCGCCAGCTGCGGTTATCAAGGATATTCCACAAAAGATTAGAGATTAGATTCTACTTTTCTTAAAGGTGAAAATTTATTGAATTGGAAACGAAAAGAGGTTCAGGTCACATCTATCAATTACATACCAGTATACTGAGATGAAAAGAATGCGTGATCGGTTGGAGGACAATTAATTACGTTTATTTCCAAAATTGGTGGTTTCTTTAATATTCGCTGAAATTTTTATGGATGTTTAGCTGTTATGGACCGGGTTTCGTAGAGGATTAAAATTATTTTCATAGTAAACACTATTCCGCATTATGAACACCATCGGAAAAAAAATTATCTCCTTTGCGAAAGCGCCTCAACAAAAATTATAGCCAATATTTTTTCAGCTGTAATAGAAAGCAATCAAAAAAATAACTTGATTGATTCTTTTTTTACCATAATGAAAGAAACCATTATTATGATATTTTTTCTGTTATGTGACAGGAGTTGTTTATGTTACGGTTTTTTCGAAGTTTTTGTTTCGTTCTAGCTATCATGAGGCATATGGGTGATTATCCAATGGCCAAGAATCAATCTGAAGTTGATTGTGTGTACACAATTCTAGTGGTAAGCTTCTTATGTAATCCCATTTTCAGTGAACATAAATATTTAATTAATTTAAATGCAAAACTTTCCTTCTTTATACTTAATAAAATTCAATCTTTTTTTAAAATTTCTGAATTTCTTTTAATATATAAAAGTTGTGCATCAGTCCCCAGCTATAATGTACAAGTTTTATTCATTGTCGCAAGTTTCATAAACCTATCGTGATCCCAAAATGAAATATACATTGTAATATGAAAAGAAACATGCCCTGTGAGATAGTAAAAGTATTGTAACATTCAATACTTGATTAAATTACAGCCATTCTGTTCTGAACCACATACATATTTACCAAATAAATATATATGCATAAATGTGTGTGTAAGATTTAAAATATGAAACTCAGAATTACAAACTTTAATTTGGTAATACCCTTATTTTTTATTTTAATTTGGCTAACGAATCTAAAGTGCATGATCTCAAAATTAATCCTTTTCATGATTGTGTATGTAATACTGCTATGATGCGACAGCTGTTATCCAATCATATTTAAGAAACGTTTTACTACATACCTCATGCTTTGCTGATGCGTACCGCCTTTTTACTCCCACTTCGCTTGCAGATGTCAACATGTAATTCTCATTGCTCTGCTTTGTCCATTGTTTAAATAGGTAAATAGCTATATAAAATTGTGGGGCGCATAACGCCCATAATATATATCGGAACCTGTTTATGCTTATCAAAGCTTGCTTTATTATGAAATAAAAGTATGTTGAATCAATGGCCATGTCTGCTTTTACTTCTCTGTTAAGCATCATTCAAACCACGCAATTATCCATTACAGCTATCCCAAATTATTCTATATTCTGAGTCTGAATTTTAAGAATCAAAAACAAAAACTCAAAGTTTTTTTGAGAAAATAATTTCTGCTATTAACTTTATATGACTTTTTGAAAGCTGAAATTTAAGTTTAAACCTCTATGGTACTAGTAAAAATAATCAATATTATGAAGTTTTTCCTGTGTACTTGGAAAATTTTATTATTTTAAATAGCAATTTATTAATAGCATTTTGTGAAGTTTTTATTAGTCCAAAAGAGCTATTTCCCCTGAAGGAAAATATAATATCGTTTTGGCATTTTGCGTCGAAATCTTAAAAAGGCTGTATCACTTTTTAAATCGTTGCCACCATATACACTGCTCGACATTGAATATATACTGCTCGATACCAAGAAGGAGTGGTCAGAAAGTGATGAAATTTGGGAAAAAGACAGAGACAGTAAGCAGCAATAAGTGATCTTTGTTTCAAAATGATAGTCAGAATACAGAGCGAGAACGGCGTCGGCTCAGTAGGATGTAGGAACACGGCAGACAACGATGCACGAAGAAACACGTCTAGGCATAGAGTCAATAAGAGTGCAGATGGTGTCCTGAGGGAGGGCTCTCCATTCCCTTTCAACCATTTGCCACATTTCATCTTCTGAACGAGGCAGGGACAGAGTCTGCAAACGGCGTCCATTCACATCCCACACATGTCATAGTGCCCTGAATACGAACTAGAGGTAACCTGGAATCGTAGGTAGTAGCGCCGCAAACCATTATGCCATGTTGTCGCGCGGTGGGGTGTTCCATAGTTACTGCTGTCTCCACGTCAACTCCACACACGTATGCGGCGACTGTCACTGGATAAACAGAAGCGTGACTCATCTGAGAACACGACGTCTCGCCTTTCTGTCATCCACATCGCTCCAGTCCGGCACCATTCCAAATGTTGGCGTCTATGCTGTGGGGTCAATGACAGTCTTCTTAACGGACGCCGTGAGTGCAGGCCACATTCAACCAATCGACGGGACATGGTTCTGGTAGACACGGGAACATCCAGGGCATCTTGCACATGCTGCAGAATCGCGGTACAAGTGACTTGCGGGACCGTCACAGCTTGTCGGCGGATACGTCGATTCACGCATGCTGACGTCACTCTGGCTGCACCTGCACCCCTCCTTCTTCCCAGATTTCCTTGTTCCAACCATGTTCGCCATAGCCGATGCACCGTGCTCGCATCCATGTGGGTATCAGCTGCGATTTGACATAAGGACCAACCCGCCCTTCTCAATCCGATCATTATACCCCTCGTAAAATCTTCTTTCTGCAGGAAGTGCCTTCATTCACGGAGGCCTGGCATTCTCTCCTATTACACGTATCCTCCGGGACGAAAACCACTTTCTTCGATAATTCGTCTGGCAGAAATAACGACACGAATATTGCCCATTATGCACGTTCCTTCTCTTATATCTTACTTCACGTGAGTCAGAGAGCTGCGCATTTCACATCATTCGCATAACTCAGTAACGTGCGTCTACTCTCAAATTTGCATAAATTTCTGACCACTCCTTCTTGGTGTTGCATTTTCAATGTCGAGCAGTGTTTTATCGCCCTGCCTTATATTTAAAGGAATTAAATAATGAAGAAACTGCATAAATGTATGTATGTTTCTCGCACTGTGATAAAACAATGGTACGTAGAGCAATCAAAATTTCAATAACGTAATCTTCCGAAAAATATGGGCATGTGGAAGTCCTAATTTGAATTTGAAATTTGTTTTATTATCGATTTAAGATTTTGTAACACTTCAACAAATTTTTGACTAAAAACCTAAACGACTTTAAAGCGAGCAATGGCAACGCTGTACGAAAACACAAAACATTTTTATCTCCAGCGTGGGAGACTGTATTGGAAATTCTAAAGATATGCTCATTTTAAAATTAATTTGGGATATTGCTGTTGAACTGGATTTTATAATTTGAGTACGTTGAGCATGATATTTAATAAATAAAAGTAACACACAAAACATTAAAAAAAAACCCTTTGGACGTAATTTAAAATCTGAAACCTTTCATATTTTTTTTCATTAAAAGTATTTTAAATATGTTAATTTCCTTAATGCTTTAATATTTTCATCTAAGAATCCAAATGTTAAGCGGTATTAGAATTTCAAAACTGTAATTTAGTACTTTGTCAAAATCTCATGACTTTGTGAACTCAGTTATAAACTTTTTGTAACTTTTCTAAGTTCTGTTATATACAATTTCTTGGGGTAAAAACTTGATTGTATTTATAATTGTAACAGACTAATAAGGTAATAAAATCAGTCAATAATAATCTAATCTATAAATCTTTAATTTTAGTTCAATATTTATGATACAAAATCAATATTTTTTTCAGACCTGCCATAAATACCCACAATTAAGAGATGAAGTTTATTGCCAGTTAATGAAACAAACAACAAATAACAAAAGCCCAAAACCGTAAGTTATATTTTTTATTCAATTTGTATGCATTATATAATCCTGTATATTGTTTATATAATTATCATAAATAGTATTAAACAAAAAAATTGTTATACATCTTTTATTTAGACTGTATAATTATTAACACTTTATTACATTTGCTAGCTATATTTTTAACTAAATATATTTAGTTTTTACTGCTGGAATGTATCAAAATAGCAAAAGTGAAAAATGAGCTTTTAATATAACTTCATATCAAATGTTTCAAACTTTACCCCTCTGATTTCAGACTGGTCTAAACTGAAATTCAAATTTCTTTACATTATTTCATATAAAGCATTATTAATTAGAGCATTATTTACGTAATATTACAGACTACATTTAAAATTATTAAACTGTGTTAAAACGGGCTTAGAAGAACATATAATGTATAAGCACTATATGCTTTAATTTATAAAATTTATAGTCCATCTTTTCTAACTAGAACAACATAGCAACACATCAGACTGGAAGAGAAATACACCAATCTAAAATTAAGGCAAAATGTAACTATTGTTGAGCAAAAATTCTTTTGCTCCTGATGATGATAGAACTGTATCTGATTGCCCTTTAAATTGATAGGGTTTTATGTTAAGTCTACACCAAATTGAGGTTGCTTTCTTACATAATTTTAAACATGGCAACGATTAATATAAATTGTTCTTCATATCTTTCACATTTACTTATTAGCCTGTTTGATAATCTTGATTCTACTCATACCACTGGCTGTTTCGTTGGAACAATAGTTTTTTTTTTTTTTTTTTTTTTTCTCCTTTATATTGCTAGGCATTTTATTCCTAACAGCAAAAATATTGTCGAAATTTAACATTTAGTTTGTCAGTTGAATTAGATTTCTCTTTAACAAGAGCATTTTTCATAATAAAGGCCTTTGATCATATTTATTATTTCTTCTTCCACATCAGTGTACCATTTGGGAATTAAATTCTTGCATGATGAAACAAATTTATTAATTCCCTTGAGGATTATTCAAGATTATTTTATTAGCTTTTAGCATGTAGTATGTATATGTAAGAAAAGAGCTTACGAGTGAGTCTGTATTATCTACATAAAAAATGCGATCATATTATTGCATTAATATGCAGGTAAATCTTTCCTTATTGTGCAGGTATGAGGGATAACTGCAGATATATTCCTCCCAAATTTTGAATCTTCACTTTTCAGCTTTTCACTTTTGGATTAGTTTAATCACTGCTTCGGTAGTGCTGTCATCTTTTGTACATTTTAAGAGTTAGAAGGCTGCCGAGAATTTGAGATGATAGTATCAACAACGATTTTAAAATTAAAAGCTTCTTACACAAAAGTTGCAAATGCAGCATCTGGAGAGTGTGGGAGGCGGAATTTATGCAATTTATCTCCCAAAAGAAATATGCATAGTATGCTATTCCTGTGTTTTTTATAAACTATTTTATGTGTAATACTAACTGCCTGTTTTATCTTTAAACTTTAACTGTTTTCCAACTATGTTGCTTGGTATATTCCCATTTTTTTAAACACTTTAAATCAACTGTAAGTAAAATTCACTCGTAAAGTTAACAGCAGTTTTCAATAGAAATTCAAACTCATCAATTTCTTTTCATGCCCTTCCCCTCACCTTCTCCTGTAGTTTTTTCTTCTATTTGGATCAGTATTATATAATTTAAATTAACTATGTTGTTGACTTCCATTCATTTTTTATGAATACACTTTATACCTGTCTATAAACTCTTTTAATGTTTACCTTTTATTTGTAGAATTGTAATATGTCAACAAGTGAATAACTGGAATTTTGTTGATCCATTCAACAAATTCTTTGTTTAAATTCTAATAAGATATTCAGTTCTTTTAAAAATAATTTAGATTTACTTTAAAAAAAATAGTGACAATATAACTATCCTTTGGTTTTTAAAAATAGTTCAGCTCAATTCAACGAATTTCAGTTTTACAAATTGATATCAATTTATTTTCTTTCTATATGTTTGTTCTCCTTAATTTTTGAGAAATTTTAATATTTTTCTTCCTGAAGTAGAAGTTAATGGATTATCAAACAAGATATTGCTAAAAGAAAGGGAAATCTAAATGACCTGCTTGTAGAGACTTTCGAATTATTCACGTAACACATTAGAATTATTTCTGTAAAGTGTAATTAATGCAGTAATAAGATTTAGTGGTTGGTGTCGATTCGGTAGAACCGCTTTCTAAAGCATTTTCAGTTAGGCGAGCAAGGTTGTTAAAAATTAAGCTGCTGTATTTATTTGACAGTTTATGATCACTTAGTAAATGTACAAAGTTATTGCTTAGTTAGGTAATGAAATGCTTGTTAAATTATTTGAATCTCACTTCTAAATTAATAGGCCCAAAGCCAAGGTTTCAACAGTTGCATATAAGCTGTATGCCAACTAATTAACATAGCATAAAATATGATGTTAAATTACAGCATGCCATTTTATTGTTAAAATAGCAGATATAATGCTAAAATGAAGTAAGGGTGACAGAGGAAATCTGTTTTAGTTTTTATTAGTTATTATTTAGTTACATACATGCTTTAAAATTGCGGTCTTTCTTCTTTAAATTAGAAGATTTTAAAAAATTAAAATTAATCTTTAAATTAAAATTAAAATTAATCTTTAAATTAAAATTCTTTAAATTAGCTTTGCTATTGGAAATCATCATTGTTTTTTCCTGTTTAAGATGTCATAAAAATATTTCTTATTCGATATTTTAGAGACAGCTGCCAGCGGGGATGGCGCTTATTTTCAATTGTCGCTGCTTATTTTGAGTGCTCAGATGCATTGAAGCCATATTTATTCAAATACCTAGAGACAGCTGCCTACGACAAACGCCGAGCTTATCACGGTAAGTCACTAACTTCATTAGTATTTCACATATAAATGTGACATATAATATAAAACAATTATGACTAAATAGAGAGAGCTAAATTAGCACAATCACAAAACAGTTTTCTTTTGCAGTAATCTAATCGAGCATTTAAAAAAATTCTTCTAATATTTATACACAATTTTTTTAATATGTATTCGTAAAATATTATCAAATATATTACTCTAAAATTTTTCCAAAATCATACCTTTATAATAGGAATGCAGAAATAAAGGAAAGCGGTTCTCTGGCGTAAATCTTCATTTTCCGTTCGGTTTTGAGCGGCATACATTATTACACGAACGTGGAACACGAAAAAAAAAAAAAAAAAAAAAAAAAAAGCTTTTCAAAGGATATATCGAGAGTATTTCTGAGTAGACAGCTGTCGAATTACCAAATGTTCAATCGTATTAACTGGGAGTAGTGCGAAAGTACAGAAGTTACTGTTGGTGGTCATATTTTTCTTACTTATCTGTTGTTCATGCCTTCCTTTACTTGGTAGCACCTACATATCTTTTCTGCACATGCATTTTATTACAAAATTTGTTTTGGGATTCCTTCTACCCCTCTTTCCATTTTAGAATCATTCTGTACATCGTGTTTGTATAAGATCGCAACTTGTACATGGTAATCGGAGTAAGTAAGACAAATTTGCTGCTTAAATATTTTTGGAAAAAAATGATGTATAGTTCAATGTAGTTCTACGAAGTTAAGTCAATAACTATGTCATTAATTGGTATGACAGGTTTGAAAATGGTACTTGTCATGTATGTTAATACATAACAGAACCGCAATTATACTCATTTCGTTAATTATTACTAAGTAACAGTTGCACACGCGTAGTTCAGTTTGAAAATGCCATTGGAATTCGATGATTACAAGCAAAATCATCGCGAAGAAAACAATGCAAGGGAAACATCATGATATTGACATTGTCGTAGAAAAAAAGGCAATTCAAAAAAACTTTACGGTTTTAAAACATCGGCGTAGAAAATATTGTGGTAAAAAAAAGGCCGCTTTACGCCATCGCACGAAGATAATTTGGCACATACGTTTTTTCTGGACTTAAAAATTTTAAGTAATAAACTTGGTTTAGTAGAGCGAACATGCATTTGAAAATGCTTTATTTTTACCGTGATATTTTTTACGACGATAATTTAAAACTGCGAATTTTTTAACCGCACTTTTTTCTACAAGAATGCTTCATACTACAATGTTCTAGAGCTCTGATGTTTTCCCCTTGCATTGTTCACTCCTCGAAAGTCCCGTCTGCACTGTTTTTAGTGGTCACCAACTCAATGACTGTACAAGAGAAGAGCAACATGCAATTATTATTTTCTTTCCTGAGAGGTGTAACATTCCTTAGCTTTGATGAAACATCAGGTTTATATTAGAGAACTCATGGGAACATACCCGAGTGTCCCCCGAAATGACCTGAAAGTGATCAAGGAAAAAATCGCAAAAAAAACAGGCCCCCTTATACGGTTTCCTTCGAACGAAAACGAGAACGGTAAAAAAGCGCTTTTGTCTGAAAACCGCCATAGGAGTATGTTCGCGTCCCGCAACGGAGAAAGCTGTGCCGTTTCTTTATGTAACTGTGCTGATGTTTTGCTTTTTATTAAACCAAGAAATCTTTGTTTAAGTTTAAGAATAAATATTGAAAAGACACTGGTCTGATTATTTTCCATCTCGGAAATTCGCTTATGGTACAGGGGATGGTGCAAATTGATATTCATAAAAGAATGTTTCCTGTTTGTGGAAAGAAGTATTCGCTGTATGCCGCGAATAAGTGGATCCCAGAAAACGCTTTGCATATGATAACGATATTCAAGATGAAGTCCTAATATGTGGATGAGGCAGCAACATTTCATACAGGTGGTAATGAAGAGCTGAGTAAATAATGACGCAGGTATATAAATAATTATGAAACAGATGATTTTGTAATTACCTTTTGTGATTTACTTATTGATTTCTTCTGTAATTAAATAGGATAAACAAGTTTTTAATGGCAGTAGAAACAAGTTTACGTAATTAGAGTTATTCTGTTCTGCCAGTTTCAGCATATTATTGATTGACAGGTACTATTAATTAAATTTTAATTGCATTTTATTGTGCTCTGCATATATAAGATATCAAAAAATGTAAATTTTAAAAGTAGCTTCACTGTAATTGTTATCACAATCATGAACCAATCTGTCAAGTATATGTCAAATTCCTCTATAGAATAAATGCATTTTAATATCGTTTTCATTGTTTTAAATAATCTAAATAATGAATCAGTGGCTAATATGATGCAGGAAAATGAGAAATATTTGTGTATAATTATGTAATCTTCATTTATCAATAAATATCTCCCTTCTTTTTCCAGGTACTGCTATGGTATGTTTGCAGAATTTAAGAAAAACTTTTAAATACGGAGGACGGAAAAATGTACCTAGTGTTGAAGAAATATCTGCTATATCTGTATGTAAAATTCTTTGTATTCTGTATGAAACATAATTTTTGATTTGAAATTTATCCTAAAATTGAATATAATGAAATAAATATCTATAATAATATTTTTTTGTTACTCTTACTCAGGCGGGTCGCAATTCTAAGAGGCAAATTTACAGGCTTCCTGGAGGTACAGAACGAGTCATTAACACAAAATCTACCACTGTAGTGCAAGATATCATTGAAGAAATCTGTACCATATTAAATGTTAGAAACCAATTAGAAATGGAAGAATTTTCACTTTATTGCATTGTTGAAGGAGGTAAGATTTTTAGATTCTAAAAATAGTATTGTATCACATTTACATAATACGGCTGTTATATAAATTTTGGCATTTGTAAAAGATTTCAGGGCTTAAGGCTAAATAATGTCAAGGCTTTATAATTGCTTTCTATATAAAATTTAGAAATTGAGATAATGATGAATTTCTCTAAATTTGCAGTTTGCTTTTAATAACTTCAAAAAGCTTCTGATTTTTTAGAGTCAGGTTTAGAAATTTTCATATTGCATATGCTGATGCTTTTATAGATTACATAATATGCAGCTTAGTCAGAAACAGTTAAGTGCTTACGTAAAAATTAATTAGTTGATCTTTCTGACGCAACTTTAAACATTAAATCAAATCCTAGGCATTTAAAATTAGATAAAAAGATAACATTATGTTGGCGCAGGTTTTGAATAAAACTCATATATATGAACTTTATTCAAATCCTTTGGGGGTATTACCCCACAGGGTATTTGAAAAAAAGATACTAAATATATCTTGAAAGGTTGGTCATAGACTTATCTTAATATGATATGAATCAAATAAGATAGGTGAGCAATTTTATCAGTTGGTTGCTTTTCATAGACATACATGAAAATTTAATTTTTTAAAAGCTCGTAGGAAAACAAATATGGATATAAAATGTTTTCCACTGCCAATTATTTAAAAAATAAATAAATAAAAATCCTCTCACATAAGCAAACTCACTCTATATATCCTTCATTAAAATTTTTTGGGACCACTATTAGAACGGCTATGCATATTAAATTTTTAAAATAAAAAATTTTAAAGAAACTTTCTACGTCATAAATATATTACTATAACTACATGAGTATGGAATTCTTATTTTTAGAAATGCTAAAATTCGAAATTATTGTTTTATTGTTGCTTCTCTCTTGTGATCATTGTTCCATCTAATTTTGACTGCTGATGTGCAACTTTATTTTTACATTTATATAAATATAATAATAAATCTTTTCTCTTTTATCTTTAAAATTTAACCATTGAGCATAAATGCGAAATTTATATTGTTTTCACTATTTAAAGATGATTTTACTCGAATTAACGTGTCTAAATGACCTTATTTCAAATGATTTATTTGTTTATTTTTTATTAAATTAATTAAACAACGAAGCTTCATGCACAGTCAACACTAGTCAAAGCATTCAGATCATAGTATTCAGTCATAGCATTACTGAAGCTTCATTCATAGTCAAGACAAGACGCTAAAAATCTTTAACCAATATCTATTAATTTTGAAAGTTTGGAAAGTTATTTGTTCTGTAATGAAAACATTACCCTATCTGAAAAATTTGTTATCAATTTACACTTAACTCTTTCACATATGGCAAATTTAAAGTCATTTTATTTTTGTAGTATACCTGTTTTATCTCTTAATATTTTACTGTATTTTACGCATAATAATATTTCGTCTAATTCTGTGCCATAGTTAAAATCATATTCTCTCAATGCTGTGAAATCAAATGTTCCCCATTTCTGTACTTCTGTTTCAGGAAATCTTTCTTCTAAATGACAGCAAAGAAAATTTAGCTTAGAATTAATTTCAAATTCAATAATTCTCCCTTGCTTTTAAGCAAAGGAATTTCTTCGACATCAAGTAAGCGCAGCCGCCCAGAAAGGGAAAGTGCTTAGTGACTCTAACTGTAGTACCGAAGTGCTCGAAATCGAATCCTGGAGAAGGCATGGATGTAAATTTTCTATCCCTTCTTAGGAGGAATGGTGGCCCTTCTATCTAGTACCTCCATAATAAAGTGATCACCACTTCCGGCTTTAGTAGTGGCCAAAGCCTGTAATGGTTGTTAGTGCAGCCCCTTTGGGGGGCCGTGGAAACTTCAAGTAACGCCTTTGTGGTTATTCTTCTTCTTTAAGTTTATTTATTTTACCATGAGCAAAGTGAAATGCATCAAAAATTAGTTAGTCTTACGGTTAGATTGCGCAGCTGAGAAAGTTTACTGAATGTAGCAAGTTTTTCAGAAACGTCATTCATAATATGTAAATTTATATGAAATGTATTTTTCAATTTCTGTAAAAAGTATTTTGAAATAGGATTACTTGCTTCATCTTCTTTGAAATATTTAATTAATACGTCATAATTCTTAGCTATTAATTTCAGCGCAAAATGTCTAGATAAACGATATAATTTTATTTTATGGTTTGAAGGTAATAGCTTCACTTTCGAAAGCAGTAGCAGTATCCTGAAATTTATATCTTTTTCTTGTAGAATCTAAAAAGTACTGTATATACCTTTGTCATTAAAGTTTCAGTATCTCTCATTAATTTAAATTCTTTTGAAGCATCGCAAATACCCAAATCTTCACGATATGCAACGTAGTTTTGCTGAACCAAAATGCGGTATACTTTCTTTTAGTTTTGCTGCTACTTCATTTAACTGACCTAGCATAGCAATTGCCCGATCAGAGTTAAACATACCCACTTTTTGTAAATCAATACTATTTTTTTTTATATAAAATTCTCTTTTTCACAGAAACAATTGAAAACGCGTCGCAAAATTTTAATTGACTAATTTAAAAAATGTGAAAGCATAATTCTTACTTCTCCAGTTTTCTGAAATCTTAAAATATTTTCCTATATCATCCTGGACAGATTGCAAGGAAATAATCATTTTAATTGCTAGTAACATGTTATCAATTAATTTTTTCACTTTTTCAGAATGGATTTTTTTTCTTTTGAAGTTCATCCGGGTCTCATTTAATAAATGTAATCCTGTTGCCGACAGCATGGGATTTTTATTTCTTAATATTATAGTTCTGTCCACGTGAGATTAATTATTTAAATGTGGTTTTAAAAAATCGTTTCCAATTATCCTTCAACTTTTTTCATAAACAAAATAATTATTTTCATGTTCATCACTACAGTAAATACGAAAAATTCCAATTCTTTGTCGTATAAAAAGATTTCCCGCAACGGAATTTGTAATTTACTTTTACTGCCAGGGTCTCTGTTTCAACTATTTCATTGAGCCATTCGATTTTAAAATCACTTGCTGTGTTTCTTCTATTTACAAAATTTCCCATGGTTTATAAATTATATGAGCATACAGTATAATGCATAGACTCGTATATTGTTAGCTACTTTTGTGGACAACATACCACATGCTAGTCGCTCTTTAACAACGTGCAATTCAGCAGCACTTGAGGAGATAACGCAAAGGCACCATTACCATTTCCAACAGTTGTATGACGTAGCACAAGTGCTCGTATTACTAAATACCAACATGTAATATAACAAACATAATTTAATATGATTTATTTTAAAAGTGATGTAAAAATATAATTATTATTTTGATTTGTGGCATGCTTGTGTGTCAGCTTGTTAATTTTCTTTGTGATATAAATTTCCAAAAGGCGTTCATGCGCACAAGTTAGAGAGTACTTTGCTTGTCATCGGTATCAGATCTCGTCTGCGGATTCATCATGGCCAAACGACTAGTGTTTCGCCTGTTGCTGAAAGTCCTTGGTGTGTCGTTCGTTAAATCGTTGGTTTTATAATAGTACGACTTTTTACTTAGCTCCATTCCAATTTTGATCTCGAATATCCAGCCAAACAGAATTCAAGGATCACTAATCCCTCTTTTTCTGATGCCACTCTCTTGATGAGCTTTCTTTCCGTGGGTTATTAAGCGCCCACATACCACGAAAGCACTAACAAACGCCCATGTGTTTTAGATTCAACCCCGGACCCTGTGAAATTGCATGCTAACCGCATGTGGAACAGAGAGACTTGAAATTTTATATGTAACACAGTTTAGTTTTTTGCAGCCTCTAATACTCTAACAGTTGTTATACACATCGTAATATATTATTCTTGCCTCTTTCTTCATATGAATGTCATCTATGCTATATAATTTTTTTCATATTACAAGATTTTTTTTAAAGACAAAGTGCTTATGTAGAATAGTACACTAACAAGAAATTATTTAGCTTTTACAAAAGTAGGGGATATAACGTGCTTTTTTCATAGAATAAGTTACTAGAATTTTATTTCTGTTAGAGAGCGCTGCAAAAATTTAAATATTGCATCTGTCTATTGAAAAGCACTATGAGTTGTAATTTGAAACTACCAAATTTCAGCAGTATTCTGAATTAAAAACCGTGGGGTTTTATGACTAACTGTTTCAAGATATATTTATTTAGTTGTTCAGTATTTCGCTATTGTTCTATATAGGAAATATTTTTTTACTATTTTGTTTGCTTTTTGAATTATTCATCTCTAATTTTTGTCTTGTTTGATATTAGAAGTATATAGTTCTCCCCCCTTTTTTCCCCACGCTACATTATGTTACACTATTCAACATACACTCGGATCATTATGGCGTTTGAAATTCCCAATTCGCAAAATTGGTTTTATTTCACTTAGTGTAAGTTACTTAATTTATCTTCCAAATTTAAACAGTATGTTTCATGTAATAAATTGAATACTTTTGAAACAATGTACAAGTTCTATCGTGAACTGGAAAATTCCTGTTAGAAATTATTTTTGATATGTGACATCTAAAACTATGTGAAAAGTTTCATTCGCTATGTGCCTTCTTAAAAAGTAATTTTATCAATGACATTGAATAAACAAACATACAGTTACTATTAAATAAATTGTAGACAATACTATAAAATTTCTTCTTTCTTATAGATCCCTATACAATGCCACTTAATCGTGAAGAATACATCTTGGATGTGACAACAGAACTTTTAAAGAATGGTCAAGTATTCTACTTGATATTCTGCCGATCAGTATGGTATTACCCTCTTCGTTTAGATAATCATCTGTACATTGAAGTCATTTTTAATCAAGTTGCACCAGATTATCTTGAAGGTCTACTTTTAGTAATGCCAGGAGAGCGAATAAAAGAGCAAAATGTGGTGAGTACTGATCTTTAATACAAAGTAATAATTGTGTGCTATTCGGTATTTTTCTTTTTTTTTTCGCCCTAGAAAACTAGGAATTCAGTTAAAATGTAGTTTTTCTTATATTTCTAAATTGTGATATACGAAATTTTAAACAAAATTGTAAAAAGTTCTGCCAGAAGCTCTCCCCAATGTAAAACAGAAGCATAAAGGTCAACATGGATCATATTTCAGATTTGATTTTGTCGTGATGCAGAACAATGCGTAACATGTTTTCAATCACTTATTTCACTCACCTTTTCGCCAGAAGCGCCTATTATATCCGGATCCATTAAATGTGTCGCATTGCCTAGCGGCAGTTGCAATAAAGATTCGCAGCATTTTATGTCTTCTCAAAGAAAATAATCACAAGGTCAGAGCTGATATCATTGTCTCTCGCAGCCCTGGATGTTTCGTGACGCGAGCGAAAAAAAACAGTCTACAAAATGTTGTTTTTAAATATTTAGAAGAACTTAAACATATCAACAACTTCCTACTTTAGTTGTAGAAATTTGGATGCGGTGGCAATTGCCACCATCGGGTCTTAAGTTATCAACGGTCAAGAGGGAAAACATGCGCACAAGCCTCCAGATGATAGTGTCTGCTACAGATAAAATAGACCTCTACTATGAAGGTGGCTAACGCCACCAGTAGGGTCAAAAGGGTTAAGCAAAATAAACGTTAAGGACATCAAGGATGAGGGCACTATGAAAAGATTCTTAAGGACTCATTTAAAATCGACACAATAAAAATATTTTTTTTACTATAAAATATGTAACCAAGTTAAATCAAGATTGAGAAAGAAGGAACGGGAGGGGAAAAGCAGTCATGAATGTATTTGTGTTTAAGGCTTCTAAATGTCTTGTCCCGGCTTAGCACAAAGTGAAAAATCTGATATGACAGAGCCTGCCATGCAATGATATTATGTTATGACAACTATGAAATCTTTTCTCTCAAAGAAAATAACCACAAAAGGACAAATTTTGGGAGCTAATCAACCACGCACTGTTATTTGTAATGAAATAAAGAGCCTAGAAATATTCCTCACAGAATTCTTTTCTTTGGGAATAGTTAAGGTATCTTTAAATGTAAAACGTTTTAAAAAGGATAAAAAATTACGTTACCGAGAGCGTAAAAAATTGCCAAACTATTTTTTATATTAATGATGCCAAAAATAATTATGCTAATCCTATGCTACCATTGCTAACGCAATGAAGAAAGCATAATAGTAAATAAATATCCAAGAATATTATTTTATTTTCAAATGAAAGGTTAATTTCATGTATTATATTTATTACAACGCATTAAGAATGAAGAAAAGTAAAATAGCCAAACATAATTGAAATGAAGCAGAAGGCATACAATTTTTCTCTCGTCCAACAATGCACAGGATTTTTTTTTCGGGGGGGAAGGGTAATGCGTTAACTTCTCCACATATGTTTGGAAGAATAAAATTCGAGTTGGTTCAGTCGAGCAATGCCCCGATGAGTTTATTACGTCATTTACCAGGACGCTAAATCAATCACACACAATTGCTCTGTCATTTGTATGTGATTGCTCACGATCTTTTAGGCCCACGAAATTATATTTATGGTTAACAGTTCAAAGTCTAGCATCTCAGTTTGTCCGCGTTATATGTTTCCCAGCAATCAGTATAGATAATGGTTCCTTCTGCAATATTTTCCTTAATGACATTGACGTTTTAGCCGAACTATTTGGAACAATGACTAAAAAACATTCCTTTAACTCTTTGCAGAATTCCCCAAAAAACCACTGTAGCGGAGGAGCACGCATAAATTTGCTCTTTTTGGTTTGTTTTATTTAATTATGGCAAAGCTGTCAAAGGTTGTCTGCCTAAGGGGGATGCCTTGGTGGAGGACTTTCTAAGAGAACTGGCTCGTATACATGTTACACATAGGGAAAACACGAAAAACGTCCCCGCAACCAACCCTTTTGCCGGGATTCGAGCCCGGACTAAATTACTATTATTCAGCGATTTTACCACTCGGACGCTCGTGGGCCCAAGTTGTTTTTTCTTCGAAGGACAAGGCTGTCTTATACTTTAATAATCTTATCACGTTCACAGATTTTCAACGTAAGCCGAGCAATTAAAGCTCTAGCACGTACTTCAAGTATGTGACTGTTCCAGTCTTCTGTGGCTCTGTGATTCGTCTTCAGCTGGAGTTCACAAAAACTCGATAGATATCATCTTCTGGCACCAAAAATAGAATAACCTCACGGCTGTAATCCTTTCTCATTGCAGGATCCATTTTGCTGTTGAGTTGTCGATAAAACACAGTTTTACCTTATGGGCCTTCAACTATAGTTTTCTATCATGAATAATGACTTTTCTCTGTTGATAGATCGATGCAGAATTTAAAAATTATACCATTATTTCAATGGTGACTTAAAAATCTAGAACTATCTAAATTGCCGCGCGTTTAGAGAAATCGAAATTTACGGCCCGTTTGCGATTAAATGGGCACTTTTGCGCACTTATTTTCGCTGCACTTTCGAACTGTTCCAATAATGAAATTGTACCAAAAATGCTCAATTAGATTGTTATATCTAATTGATTTTGCATTGCAATTTGAAAGAAGAAGTGGCTCGATGTACTGCTCAGTAGAGTTGCAATCTCTCATACGAATAAGATATGAAAATCAAGTTGTTTGCTTCATAATTAGTTTATGACATCAATAATCAATATATGTTTCGATTGCTGTTATTACTGTTTTTTAGTAAATGTTTGTAATTTATTCCAGGCTGATATTGCAAAAGTTGCAGCTTTATTACATCGGGCTGCTGATATGGAGCACACACCCGCAAAGTAAGCATTCCTTTACTCTCATGATTTGTGTTTTAAAAACAATTTTTATTTAAACAAAACAGTTTTAAATAAAAAATGAAATTCAGTGAAATTTTTATTTCTTGAAAATACGGATTTATCACTTCTTTTAATATCATCATCTTATAAAAAAGGCAGTTTCAGTAAAATATTAATTGTCATAGTTTACACTGCTTTAACATTTACTGATTTAAAATGTTATAAACTGTGGTATATACCATGTTATGTATCTATTATTTATTTCATGTGGATATAGGGAGGAAGTCAAATATCTTTTACCCAAACCAATTCTTGGAGTAAGAGATATTCGTCCTGCTCAATGGGTAGAATATGTCCAGCAAAACTGGCCACAGATGACCGCCTTAACCACGACAGAGGCCAAAGCTCAATGTTTAGGTAAGATTGGACAAAAATACAAAAATTAAATAAATTCTACTGATCTTTCGTCAGTTTTGCGGTTTTCAATAGGATATAGCTCTTTGTATAGTAACACTATTTACAGATTGTAGAGTGTGAAAACTCATTTACATCGTCTTGGTAACCAGTTTCTGTTTTCATAAAAAAAAATTAAAGTTGGGGCGCTACTCAAGATTTTGCAGCTGAATTAGAAAATATGTTTCTAAATGGATATTTGCCGAAATGAATGCATTAAATATAATATATATAATTTCAAGAATAGAAGAGAAGAATAATCTAAATAAAATCTTCTACAGAATTTCAAGTCGAATACCCAGAGAAGTCACATTTTCATCTTTCAGAATTGCTTTTCAATTTCAGCGCTTGTGAAGCGAAACAAACGGAAAGTTAAACACTTTTCTTTTCTATTTCAGTTTTTGGTTTTCACTGTAATGAGTTTTGTTTTTAAAACTGCGCTCTTTCTTCGCTTATTTAATTTAATGCAGTTATTATACTTTTCATGCCCCCCCCATGGGCGCTTCTTGATTTAGTTTTTTTTTAAGTGTTATATGGCAGTTTTTTTCTTTTGCATATCATTTTTGTCAATTTTTCATTTTAACATGTTTTTCTTTCCTATGAATATTACAAATTACTTAATATAATAGTGACTAATGCAGTATTCTTGGCCTTTTTATCCGAAACACTATCTTGTATGCTTATGAAAATTACTATTAATATAAACATAAAACTTTATGTATCCATTCATGTATTTCATTGTTCATATTTGTATGCTCTGAGTAAAAGAAAACTTATATATTTCAGATATTCTCCAAAAATGGCCTTTGTTTGGTTCATGTTTCTTCATAGTAAAGGTAAGGAGTTTTTTATTCTCTTACTTTGAGATCAATAACATTTTTGTCAAACGTAGGGAAATTTAATGAAGGAAAATATTCTTTCACTTCATCTGAAATTAATTCTTCAGTATTTCGCCTAGGCATGATAATATGCGTCATTCCCTTTGAATAATATTTTTTAGGAAGCTTAGAGATAATATTAAGTTTAGAATAATAGTATGTTAACAACAATGATTATAAGATATTAGTCAGGAACAGAAATAACCATTTTGGCCTATCTTATTTCCACTTCCTCGGAAAATGTAACAAAACAATGCTCGGGCCATTCAAACGCAGCAGCCAAACATGTAGGCACGTATAAAACAGATAAAACAAAAAATACCATACACACCCATTTATCAATAAAGTATGTTCTGTATATACCAAAACTTGATGATGGGAAAATATTTTCTGTATATATCAAAACTTGATGATGCCAGAATATTTTCTGTATATATCCAAAACTTGATAATGTAAGGGTTAGTAATATGATGCTTGATAAAACTTTTTCATTTCAGATATATTTTACTGAAAGAAAATATTAAAAGTAACTGATATACCTTAAAGCAGTGGTCTCAAATTCAAATTGCATGTGAGCCAAAATGAAGCAGCTGATGAACCAATATATATATGTTTATAGATCACGAAAATGAAAAGATTTTTATCAAAAGAAATTTTTAATAATAAGCTGGTTTATAATAAGGAAAAATTCCAGTTTTTATAAATTTTCTATCCGAAATCTAAAGGTTGGAATCTACTAGAAATTCCTGTTTAACTTTATAATTCAAACATAATCAAAATATTACATTTTTAACTTTGACATTTATTTCAAATAATTTTAATGGTGAATTACCCATCAAATAATTTGCTTTAAGCTAAAAATAAACATATTACGAAAACTTTCTAAAGGAGTAAAACTTGAGAATAAATAATGAGAACCTATTATCTTTCTTTTATTTTTTAAATTTTGTTTCGACGTATACAGAGCAAATACATATATTTGAATGTAAACAATTATAAACTTCTTTCTCTTACTATAGCTTTCAGCTACAACATCTCATGGCGTTTCAATTTTGATAAAGTTTGTTACCTTTGAGAAAAATTGCTAGAAACTATTTTTATCGTGGATTATAGATGCTCATCGCTGGTTCTTTCCTTCTTTTTTTTTTTTTTTTTTTTTTTTTTTTTTTTTTTTTTAATTAGTATTTTTTAGCTGTGGATGAAAAAACGCTGTTCATATATAAATGTATTCCTAAACAAAGTTAATTCTCTTATCACAAAAACTCTTAACTGAGAGTATTAACTTCTGACAAGTACAAAGAAAGATTAATCAAATCTGTATCTTCAAAACTTTAAAAAAGATACACATCACAGTGGTAATTAATTAGCTCCGTTTAATGATTTTCTGTGCCTATTCTCTTTCATTTTATTATAGTAACAAAAATAATGTAAGAATCATTAAATTCTTAAACTTTTACTTAAATTCTGACCATTATAATGCTAATTAAGTTACAGAAAATGTATTGGCAGGTCACATAAAATTGCTTCGAGTGTTGCCTGTTTGAGGTAACTGCTTTAAAGTTATTTAGAAATTAAATTTTGTTGAATGTTTCAAGCACATGTTTTGTCCATAATTAAATTTAAATTAACTTCAATAAATCAGTTTTCTCATATATAAATTCAAATTGTTATCCTCTGTAGTGAACTGCATAGTGTATACGTTTTATCACTTAATGTATAAATAATTTTATACCCAGCTGGCAGTCATATTTCATTAGCCTATTTCTAGAAACTGAGATATCATTTGTTTGATATTTTGATATTTTATGAAGTTCATTGATAGACAAATAGACCAAGGTATGAATGTTATGCCTCTGGTTACCATTTTCATTTATAAATTTACCTTTTCTATAAATTTAATAATTTACCTTTCCAGTGGATTCGTGGGGATGCACTACCAGTAGATCATATTCTTGCCTTGAACAAAGAAGGTGTTCATTTCCTAGAGGTTGTAACTCATGTAAGTGACAATATTATTTCATTAGTTTATAACTATTTCATTAGTTCATTATTTTAATTCTATAATTCAAAAACATTTCATAATAAAAAATTAAAAAAAAAAAAATCTGAAATGTTTCAGATTTTAAATTACGTCCACAGGGGCGTTTTTTTTTAAACATTTTGTGTGTTACCTTTATGTATAAAATCATGTTCCTACGTACTAAACATAAAATCCAGTTCAACAGCAATATCGCAAAATTTATTTTAAAACGAGCATATCTTTAGAATTTCCAGATACACAGTCTCGCGCGCTGGAGATAAAAATTTTTTCTTTCCCCTGCACAGTGTTGCCATTGCTCGCTTTGAAATCATTTGAGTTTTGTTAATCAAAAATTCGTTGAAGTTTACAAAATATAAAATCGATAATAAAACAAATTTCAAATTTCAAATTTGGTCTTCCACGATGCTCATATTCGGTATGGAAGATTACGTTATTCAAAATTCGATGGACTCTATGATACCGTTGTTTTATCACAATGCGAGAAACATACATACATTTATGCAGATTTTTCATTATTTAATTTCTTCAAATATAATGCAGGACTCTAACATTTTGTGGCAACAGTTTGAAAAGTGAACCGACATTTATGAGTCCGACGCAAAATGCCAAAACGAAACTAATAGTCCTTCGGGATTCAAATCCCTTTGGACTAATAAAGTTAAATATTTATCAATTAATAAAGAGTTCTTCCATTCTAGTTCTGATCTTTATACATAGTTAGAAATGCTATCTATGAATAAAATAAAAATAAAAAATTTTACAGTAAATGATAAAATAGGTAAAAAAAATGCAAACTATCAATATTATAAAATTTGCGGTACAAGTTAGCTTTCATCAAAATGAAAAGGCCTACATTAGATTTATAGAACAAAAGACTGAACTTATAAATAACTTATTTCTGTTTGTTCTACCTAGCATTTATTAAATTCTTGAAAAAATTTCTCTTATAATAAAATTGCTAAAACGTAATAAGAAACAATCACAAGAAAGAGGAATCATAACCAAAGAAAATAGCTTTTTTAATTTAATTTGCTTACAAATTCGATTTACGATAAATTTTGCCAACAAAATCTCACATAAATTTAAGTACTCTTACCTGCCAAAGTTAAATACTGCACCAGATTTTATCAGACAGAAAAAATATGATAAATTACCTAAAATAGGGAATTTAGATGTAGCTCACTGACCAACAATGCCGATTCAATACAGTATAAAAGTTACTGAGCTGTACAAATGATCACAAATTTACATGATCACATATTAGCATAAAGACTAGTGCTTTGAAGTATATACTTTAAATGAGAATATTGAAATCGAAGTAATCTCATGAATTCATTTGAAATGAAGTGTTTATTGCCTAGCTCTAGGTAAATTACAGTCAGACAATCGTGGCAGGATGGCCAAATGAGACTTTCTCCAATTCATAAACTGGCAAATAATTTCGAGACGTAAATTCCTTATTCTGAAGCTTGATCGAAGGAGGGCCTGCAGTTACAACTTCTGTGCAAAATCGGTACCTGCGATTAACTTCAGAACATCTATTCTGATTTTATTGCAATTCTTTCTTATAAAGCCGACTGTGGAAAAGCGATTAAGTGTAATTTTTCGCTTACCGTAAAAGGCTCTTCGAAGGAGATCCTTATGCTAAATAATCAATATTTTTCATTTCTCTAAATGTACAGAAGAAACATATTGATGCAAGCATATGAACCAGTATAAAAGTTAAATCGTGGTCCACATTCTTCACATATACTTCCAGACATTCGTTGATGAGTTGTTTCTAGTATAATCCGATACGAAGAGTCTCAGATACCTGCTATCATCTTAGTAACTTGCATCAAAATATCATTATGGTAGAGATTATGTGTGTGCATGTTTTGGGTAGCCTTTCTATTAATTGGAAGAAATTCTTTTGACATTAGATACCTGAATGTTTGAAAGTGAAGAGAAGACATCCTTGATTTTCCTTACCATAATTTTGCAGACACAATCGGTTATGCATTCCTATTGTAAGATAATTAAATCTTATCCTCTCAGAATTCGGTTAAAATAATATTGTTAAGAGAAAGCCACTGCACTAAATCAGCTTGAGCATGTTCTGAATATGACACAGAGACATAGTACTGCCGTAAACTTGCTACAGAACTTACCACAGAAGGCATGTAACAACTTTAGAGCAGGAATGGTTACATCTACCTTCTAATTTAATAAATATAATCCTAAATAACAGGGTCACTCTGGAGAATGTAATGATAAACAGAAACTGACTAAACATTGGGTTTGGTTTAAAATATCTAATAAACATTAATGACCTGTGTAGTGCCTTTCGACATCATGTAACTTTAAACGAAAATTCACTCGAAATGTGAGAGAGGAAAGAAGTTGGAGAAACTTGAGTTCCATTTCTAGAGAAGTTTTCAGTCAAAACTGGAATGGAACTTAGATATACAGCCCTCATGTACTTAAACGTCATTAATTAATTCAATCATGTGCTAAAGCTAAGCATAATATTTTAAATCATAACACAATGACAACACTTCATAACTCCAAACCCTACTCATCGCATTTTGACACTTCGTCTTTTGATGGTTATTTCTGCAAGCTGATTTTAAGCTGCAAAAAACATTGTTTTTTTTTTGGGGGGGGGGAGATATTTCATGATGTTCTGTAAACGAAAGTATATCTTTTCTAACAAATTTTATTAGAATTACTGTTGTAATATTTTTTGTTTATCACAATTTTTTCTTCCATATAAGGTAACAATTACATTTCAGTTTTTTCATACTAATACATATATTTCAGGAAACCACATGGAAATATCCATTTTCTGAAGTAATATCCACGAGAAAAGTCAGAGCAGAGGATGGTACATTATTCTTGGATATGAAATGTGGAAATCTAATGGTGCAAAAAATTACACGCATTCAAACAGATCAGGTAATTAAATATTTAACACGTGAAACGATCTTTCTTATTTTATTACTATCATTCTTACTTAATCCTCCTTTATTTAATGTTTTTTAGGCACATGAAGTCTCCAGATTAATTCGTCAGTACATCAATATCGAACAAAAGCATCGAGGAGTCAGTAATGGTGATGCGCCTCACGATTTAACACTGTCACGGCATGTAGATAAATAGAAGCTACCAATTTTGTGCGAGACTATAATAATTTAATATACATAGAACGAACTACCATGAACAATGTAGCTGGCGATTCGGCTGCAATTTTATGAACCAAATGAAACAGATTTATATTTCTTAATGAAAGAACAATGGTGATGATATGCAGAGGAAGGAAATTTAGAATATTGCATTTCAAGAAATTCAAAGAGTCAAATATGATTAACTACTAAGACTATGAATACATTTATCTGGAATAAATCATGCGTGGTCACACAGTTTTCATGTCCTTCCCATTTGTGAATATGAACATTTTCAAGGTGAATCTAGGAAAAATGTCTATTTTATAAAATGGAAGTGTATAATAATTTCAATCTCTCAATATTACTTTAAGCATTTTTCAGACTCGAAGATTAGATTAATTAAACTGTAAAAAATATTTCAATCTTAAATTTTGGTTTATGAGTGCCAAATGAAGTAGCAATGTTCTATTCTGTTCTTTATGATTAAGATGGAATTAAATAACACCGAACATTAGTACCAGAAGTAACAAAATTCTTTGAAATATGCTTATTACTTGCTATCTGTCGACCTTTACCTTTTTATTAATAGTTCATTTTTCTACAAAGAGCTCCTTTTTTGTAAGTAAATGTATATTTATAAATAATGTTGTAAGAAAAACATTACCCAAGTTTTAATAGGGTGTGTAATGTATTCTTATTTCATTATATTTTAGCTGCTGTTTTTATAATAAACATCTTATTTCATTTGTAATATGTGTCATTCTATTGAATAGATACCAAAGTTGAAGAAATGGTCTAAAGTTTCATATCTTATTATTACAATTTCAGTAACTGATACTGAAATCACATTTTAATATAAACACTTAATACTTGTCAAAAGTTTTTCAGTGTATTATGAAAATAAAATGGCCAGTTTTAAGGAGAATACTAGAAACAGCAGTATGCATATTTAATCAAAGCGACCGCCATCGGCATCAGTACCATTTGGTCAAGAAATTATGGGGGTCTTCACTCCACACCTTAAAAAATTAAAATTTCAACCACTTTGTTAAACAACTGAATTGTTCTTGAAGTTAAAAAAAAATGGTCGAGATATTGCGAAGTGCAACGGATGTTGAACTTTTGAAAAGATTTAGGAGCAGTTCAGATTCAATTCCTTTTCTTAATGTGTACATGGTTAAACTCAATTTCACTAATCTAAGTACTAGTCTAACTAGTAGTAATCTAGTACTAGTCTAACTAAGTACTAGTCTAACTTTCTAGACAGTATCTAGTCTTTTTCTAGATAGCCGGAAAAATTATCACCGCGTCTTTAACGTTCAGTACCAGATCTAAGTAAATTCAACAATGTAAAACAACTAAAACATGAATTTGAATTTCGAGGGAAGATACAACACTAAATCAATCAAAAAGTTAACTTTCTTTGAAACAGAATGACTCAAAGTTTAAATTTAAAGCCTAACAACCTGGTTCCGCTATTCCACGATTACTGTCTTCTGTCAGCGACTTACCAGCTCGTAGCAATAGTGTTAATGGTAGACAATAACAAAGGCAGTATCATCAAGGCAGGATTATATTACCAACCCTCTCTCCTAAACTATCCTAGTCAAAACTCATTTCATTTACACATTCCAGTGGAATGGACGAAATAGAAATGCAGGAAAGATTGAACTTAGGAAATAATATGACCATTAAAATAATGCTCATACTTGTTAACCCTCTGTTTTACATATGGGGTTAAAATTTATATGTTTAATTATCTTTTTCTCTCTCATTCTATTTTAAAGTGCTATGAGATGAGTTTCTGACTTCAAGTTATTAAATCGTCTATTGCCGTTGATCATCCTTGTATGATTAACAATTTTAATTTCTGAAATATTATCTGTTACTCGTGAATATTTTTATCCTTCCACATATTTCTTTACAATTATATATTTGGGAATTTTCGTGAAAACTTAAACATCAAATATGATTTTAGGAGTTAAAAAAATTAATTTCTCTCAATTCATTTCTCTTAAAAAATTAATTCAAGTGAAATTTTGTGTTTTATGTAGTCCACAGGATGAAGGTGATATTTTGAAACTTTTTTAACTAAAGATATTTCTGAAGACAAAATATTCGATTATTGTGATTCAGGTAGAGCTAATATGATGCATTGAAATAAAAAGATAATTGACTTCTATCGCACTTTCTAGGTATGAGGACATTGTTAAAACATACTGGAGAGCTCGTGAACTAATTAATGCATCAGCGCTAATGTTTCGATTTTGTAAAATAAAATAACTAAGCTTCTATTTTCAAAAATGGAAAGTATTACACAGTTAAAAGGTTTTTAAATGTCATATTTTTCATGAATTTACACATAATTTTGAAGGACGGGCAGGATTTTCAGTTCGTCGGAATCGAAGAAGATATTTTCTGAACCAATTACATTTAACTCTTGATTTAAAAGAGTGGATGTCCTCAGTTTATCTGGAATAGAGATGGGCAAAATTGCTGTTTTATGAGATCGGACCAATGCCTTAATAGAAAGATCAGGAACAAGGAAAGTGATTAGCGAAGATGGGGGGAAGAGCGCAAAGAATTGAACGCGCAGTGGTATCTAGAATGATTAGCGAAAAGAATTAAACGAGCAGTGGAATCGGAAAAATCGGCTCAATCAAACGCTAACTCTCCGAATTGGTTTCTTTCAGATATAGTTTTTAAGGTTCCCTAAAACCTCCTTTCTACGCAGAATTAGCAACAAAATTCCAGAATAAAAATAATTTCAAAAAGTTAGGAAATGATAAAAATTGAACTCACTTATAACATAAAATAACCTTTTCCGTCTTAAAATGGGAATGGAATTTTCTTGGCCTTCAGGAGCTCTCGGTGAGTGAACTCTGGAAGAGCACCGCTACTTTTTGAACGAATTAGGCATTCGCTCGCTCAATAAAGTGAATCAACTCATAAACGAATAACACATCTATTGCTGGCACGCTTCCAGCAAGAATTCTTCGTGAACTGTAAAAGAGCTATCATTTCGTTTAGTAGAACCATTGTTTATTCGTTCGTTCAGTAAAGTAAATCGATTCTTTGAATGTGATTCTGTGAAGAGGTTTAGAGCAGGGGTTCTCAACCGGTGGTACTCAAAGAAGCAAAGTATTTTTAATTATTAAATTCAAAAATTAAAACCCAACATCTTGATTGAGGTTTTTCTCTTAACACTCGTAAATTTATGCGATCTGAGGTTGGTTCAAAAGTGGTGGTGGTGGTGATAGTAGTACTTTGTAGTGGTGGTACTAAAGGCTTTCGGTTTTTGTTTAGATGGTACGCGTTAGTCAAAAGGTTGAGAACCGCTGGTTTAGAGCATGGTATGTAAGAATAACCTTATTTCCTTTTATTATTTTTATTTCCTATTAATTTATTTTATTTCCTATTAAGCAGTGCAGCCGGGCTTTTGGTCCAGATAGGGTATTTTTTGTTTACACCCAGAGCATCTTTGACAACGGTTTGATAGTATTTCCACACACGACAGTGCCATACAAATAGAAAAGCGGGGACACTTCCGCATAAAAGAAACCTTCATTGTTGCATAGATAACAGCAATTTGCATAGTTTAGAGGCATTTACGCAAAAATCACGTCTTGATTAATTTTCGATAACTTGCAACAGCGATTTTGATTATAAATTTGTTTTATAAAATTTTAAGCTACTAGCCTACAAAAATATAGGTTTTAGCAAAAAAATGTTTTGCGTAAATACCATACGGTACCATTAAATTGTATACGTCTTTCGTATAGATTGATAGAGTATTCGCTCCTTTTAATTTTATACTCTAAATATCAAAATGTTTTAAATAAAGGACATTTTTTTCATCCACATAATATTGTAACATGTACTTTTAAAGATTTAGGGAAGAGGCTTAATATTTGCTCATTTTAAACTATTTTATTTTTACGAAAATGAAAAATATTAAATATATATATGTATGGGTATTTATGCATGTCCTTGTAAAAAGCAGGTCTCGCCTTTAACAAAATGCGTAAATACTCATTATTTACAAATATATTTGGAAATGAAGGATTTATTCGTTCATATACTCCTATGAATGTTATTGTTGAAGAAATCTAGTTATTAAATATATCTAAATTTATAATTATTATAAATATTATCTAAAAATATAATTACTTCCTCCCTCCTTCCAGCATGCCTTCGCGGTGTAACGGTGGCACACTCGGCGCGTATTCCGAGTGGTCCAGGTTCGAATTCCGGCGAGGGCATTGCTCATTTTTCATGTCATCTCCTGCTTCAAAATAACCTAATGACACTAGATAACATTTAATTCTACCACATCTTTTCTATATGGTTTTTAAACTCAAATGCTTACGCGATGCTTTTCATAACATTGTTTGCTGCAGCTAAAGAGTTAAGAAACTGCAATAAAACGCTTCACGCTCTTTTTCAGTGTCATCATCAGACATAAAGTCGGTAAGGACACTTTCTTTTACACAAACATCCAGTTTGGTCAAACTATTGATATCTCCTCGTTATTTTATTCTTAACATGATGCGTACTTTTGAAACTTTGCACAAAATTGACATTTCGAAACCGAACGTACAATAAGCATTTTTCAAATGCGATCCTATCGTGGAACCAGGTCTCAGGGGCCGGCAGTTAAGCATGTGAATTAACTGCTGATAGCGCGTGGGGAGCCTATATAGTAGCGGCTGCTGACTGCGGATTGGGTCCCTGTAAGTCAAAAAACAAATTTGTTATTGACTTTTGAAATTAAAACATTCTTTTCAGTCTACCCTGTACTTTTCATTATGAAAACAAAATAATCGCAGCTTAATTCCTGACAGAAGGCCATAAGGATATGACCTCATGAATACAAGACCATAGCGAACAACGAAACATTGCAGTTAGTACAACGCTTACATTCACTCCCAACATTCTTTGATTAGAGCAAGGATTCATAAACTTTCTTGTATCAATTCCTTTTAAAGAATGTTTTTCTTCATTGACCTTCTTATGCTTTTCTCAATAATATACAGCATACAATACAATCATAATACAAATAATGGCGCAAAATTAACTTAAAGATAATAATTAGAATAAAAACATTTTTATGAAAGTTTTGAAAAGAAGATTTTATTAGATTTATCTTTATTATTTTTTTTCATTATTATAATTTTTAATTTTACTAGCCTAACCAAGTTTTCAGAAATAAAATATGAAATTCTAACTCTACAAAAGTTCGATTTTAATTAATGTGAGGGCTCTGCTTAACGCCCTGGTGCAAATGCTTTATATTTGCCTCAGAATTGTTTAATTTATTTCTTAAATCACCTCGTTCAAAAATATTCAACCTGCGTCTTGTTTGCCATATTACAGTCTCGAATAAAGCCTGCCCCATTAGGTAAGAAGAGGGGGAAATCCATAACGTCGATTCAATAACAACTATTATTTTGCGATATTTCTGCCAGAGGACTTTTAAATTCCAAAACTTAGCGTATCCATGCGATTTGAATAATACCTTGAGCTTGAATATCCAATCAATTCTTTTGCATCTTAATAACAAGTTTACATATATTTCAGTTCAACGGTTATATGAGCCATGCCGGCCAATTGAAGTTTTCGACATCTTGGAAACAAACAACAAAATTTTGTTTTATTTCCTGGGAAAGTTTTGCGCCTCTTTTTTTTTTTTTTTTTTTTTTTTTTTCGAGAAAAGGGAGTGGGGTTGTTTTCTTTTGTGTGTTCCTGCGA